TATATATATATATATATATATAAAACTTTTGTGTTGTACATATTTCGACGACAAACTCGGAAATTCACGAGGGGCCCGATATCGCGCCCCGCGTCGTAGTATAATAATAATAATATGTACAGCTAGAGAAACGGGACTACGTGTGTACTACAACGGTAGCAACCGTAGGTTTCTAGACAACAGTCGAAAAGTATGGAAGAGACGATTTGCATAGATTTATATATAGATATATAATCTTTAATATAACTGTGTTTTTTACTTAAAATAAATAACCCATTTTTTTTTGTTAAAAATGCGCCTTCGGATCCGCCGACTCGGCTGCTTCGCATCCTCTTTCTCCCGCATTCACGCACTCTCTCTCTCTCTCTCTCTCTCTCTCACTCTCACACACACATACGCTCGCGCACACGCACATCACGTCAGCTGCCCTTCGCACACTTTATCGACTCTCCCCCCTCCCCCCTTTTCCCTTTCGCGATCGGGATTTGAACCTCGGGATATGCCCACTCCTGATATGTCCGCACGCTTAAAAAACTAACTCGTTCGCAGTCCTTCTTTCGCGATTGATCAGGTACACCGATTTGACGCATCGAGGAAACAGAAGGCCCCGGTTCGGCGAGCAAAAACGAAAAGCGTTAAAAAAAAAAGAGAGAAAGGGAAGGGGGAAAAAGAGGTAGAGAGAGGTATATNAGAGAAAAAGAGAGGGGGGGGGGGAGAGAGAGAGAGGAAAAGAAAGAATCCGGCGCGCATCCTATTGTACAAGGAAGAAGAGACTGCGAATGTCGTTGACGCGATTTCGAGGTTGCCTACTTACATACGACGTTTACTATTTAACGAGAACGCACAGTCTTATGGAGTAAACCCGTGAGCGAACTTCGACAAGTAAAAAGGTATTCATCATTTATAGTCTATCATTCTATAATCGTAGATTTGGTTCGACTCGTCGTCCGTGCGACGAAACGATTATGACGTTATATATGCGAAAGTCGCAGTTACCTACATGTGTGTATATGTATACATACATACATACATACATACGTGTGTGTGTGTGTGTTTATGTATGTATGTACGTATATATGTATCGCCTTGGACGTATACACTTTTTTCTCGCAACGCGCGCGCAAAAAACAGACACACTCATTTATCCACGCATACAAACACACGCACGCACGCAAACCCCACGCACCTTGCGCACCGTCTCGCACGCTCTCGCCACATTCTCACGTATAATCCTCCTTCGTATAAATATACCGACCGTTCGCGAAGAAAGAAAACAGAAGAAAGGAAAAGGAAGAAACCGCTGTGCTACCGGAAGGTGGCCGGTGCTTCATCCCGGCGAATTCACGCTCGCATCTATTCATCTAGACACTATAAGGTTTTAGCGCTACGGTAAACGTACAAAAGGTAAGGCCGCCGCATTACAATGCACTGACTAGATCAGTTTCATATGTGTTCTCTCTCTCTCTCTCTCTCTCTCTCCTTCCGAAGTGGATAACATATCTCTCTCGGCATCAACAAGAATATTCGGGACACGGTGTATCTCTGCCAACAAAAAAATATATGTGTATATATATATTTATGTACTATCGTTATTTCTCTTTCTCCGGCACTTGGTACCCGCGCGTCCCGAGCATTGGTTACAACACCGGTGACACGCGAAACTGCGAATGACGCCGCGAAAGCCACGTAAGCAGCAATCGATGAACTTGCACGCGCCGCGCACCGACGTCGCTCTGAGCTGAGCCGAAAGACGAATTAATTAATATAAGAGTCCCGCGAACGCGGCGTAGGCCTCCGTAGATGTGAAACTTCAGGGATTCCCGATCCTCGGAAGGTGGATCACTGCATAGACGGATCGCGAGGACGCACGAGGGACGAGGCCGGGGGATGCGACAAGCACGTAAAACTAATTCGCGACGAACCGGAGAGGCTCTTAAAAGGGAAGCAAACGTAGGAATAAAAAGGGAGAAATTGTACAAAATTAAAAATCGAAAGTTGTCGTTTGCCGATAACACACGTCGGGAGCGACGCGGGCACATCGGACGTCGACGATATCGCGAGACTATGTCGCGTTTTTGCGCGCGGGAAAAGAAGAAAAGGAAAAAACGTGAAGAACGGCGAGACAAAAACCTTTGGCATGGCGCGCGATCCGCCTGTGTTCAACTTCTTAAATTAAAAAAAAAAAGAATCGCTCTCGCCTTTATTCGTCACTGACTGAAGAAACTGAACCCCTCTATCCTTGCGGTGATCGGTCAAATCCACGGTTTCGTGCGCATAAGGACGGAGATGGCTAACTAGGAACTGCGAGGCACTGCAATACGTGTCGATCGCGAGCGGCCGGCGTTGCTGCGCCGGCGGGCGCTGTAAATCCCGAGCGCAATTTTCTATTCAGACAAAATCCATTATTGCTTCGCTAACGTCCCCCCCCCCCTCTCTCTCTCGCACTCGCTCTCTCGCTATCCTCTCACTCGGGCGACGCATCGTTGTAGCCAAGTGTTTAGCATCATGTGAAACGGTGTTTCCTGTGTACAAAAGATCCCGTGTGCTGATGGTTTCCGCCAGATGTCAGTCGTACAGTGTTCGATATAGTGTATGTAGATTATCAAAAAACATCACAGTCAGGTTACTAGATTTTAGAGAGAAGTGTCCGTCAGCGCGCCGTCGCACGAGCGTGTGTCGACAACTGCGCTCCTACGAGTCGCGCACGTGACCTGTAATCCCCGACACGGCCGAAATACCGATTCCTCTCTCTCCTCCCCCTCTCAATCTCCCAATTCTCATCTCCACGCAGGTAAGAACGCGCGCGTTACCACCTATCGTAATCGCGTAACGTTCCGGGATACTCGCCATCACCGCGAGGCCCAACGACGGGGCTCCGCCGGAGCCTCTCAAGGTCGCGTTCCGCCCCGCGCAGTAGCAGGTTCCTCCACGTGGACGCGCTGATCGCGCGCGGGCCGCTCAAGCGTCGTCGGACGAGGTGCCGAGTGCTCGCGGCTCACGCGTAAGATCAGTAATATCACTTCTTGTCGAATAACGCGAGTTTACTGCGCACGGCACCCTCGCACACCACCAGCCGTTGCGCCGCCGAGATTGGCACGGGCCCCTCTAAACTGGCCCTAAGCAGGGTCAAGCGACTGGGCCCGGCGTCGCCGTGGTCGCCCAGCCGCAGGCTGCCCGCCGTCGCTTGCTTCCTCTCGAAGTACTCGACGATCTTCGAGATGGTCTTGCTGGACGAGCCGAGCCGGTCCTCCCAGCAGGACGAGTCGCCGCCGCCCAGGCTGGCTATGTCCTCGGAGGAGTCGGTGTATATCGAGCTGGTGCGATGGTCGTCCAAAAGGAAGAGACTGCTCGCCGCCGAACTGCTCAGGGTGGACGTGTGCCGACGATTCGGCGGCTCCGGGCTGAGGTCCTCGCCGACGCAACTCCAAAAACCCGACTCGCAACTGCCGCGCCTCCGCGGCTCCCAGCCGTCCCGGAACAGCGGATGGGCGAACAGACTCGCGGCGCCCACCTTGGTCGCGACCTGAGCACAAACGTGGAGAATCGTTAGTCTGTGTCGAGAAAATGAAATAGAGCTTATTCTTCGAGAAATCTCGGAAGCTTTTGATTCAAATTTAACTCGTGTATATGACGCTTAACCGGCTCTTAATTTCTTGTTTCTGCTGTGAAATAAGTTGAAAAGGGTTTGAATAAAACCGGAATGATAAAGGAAAAACATGAAAACCGATAGTCGAGGGTTAAAGGAAAAAAGAAATACATCGGTCCGGCTTTTTATATCCTCCGAAACGCATTGGTAATTACTTTTCTACGCGATAGTTTTCAGTAATTATTACCTAAGTGCTAATTAATTGTTTGTCTTCATTTTATCGATCCATACAATCAACAGAAAGCACATTTTTTTATTTTCCACGGACCCGCTCGCGTTTAATCTAATTTACAGAGAAATAGCACCAAAACCGACGTACCATTTTGTTTTTGGGCTGTTGATGTTTCTAAAATCTTGTTGAAGGTGTAAAATTAAAAATTTATGGGTACAAACGGGCAACACTTCTTTACCAAAATCTATGATTGTCTTATGAAAATCATTACATGTTTCCTTGCAAATAACTATTTTTAAGATATTTCAAATTGGCGCTTCGAAAAACTAGATCTCAAAATCAACATATATATAATATATTTATAGGAAATTAAAAAAATTAATAAAAAAATTAATAAAAGCACTGAAATTACATTATTTTGTACATTTATTATAAATCTTTACACGTTATCTTAAATCTTACATGTTTTTTAAAATTTCAAAAATTTCACGATGTATATTGCTCCTTTATTATGTGGAAAGGGATCTCCTGACTTCTTTCCGACCACCTTAAACAAACAAACAAGAAAAACAGAGGAAAATCAGTCACCGGCAACTCCAACCGTATTCTGTAGAATAACATTTCACAGTAAACTTCGGGTATGTCGGTTTACATAACATGACCTAATCGCAACTTTTTTTGCGTGGTTCAGTGACAGATCGAGTTTGGCACAAGATCCAAGGTGATTTGAAAAATTCAAAACTCACACTATAAAATAGCATTATCAAATAAATTACTTATAGCTGATTTGTTGCTTTAATTTTCACCAGAAAAAAGTTCAACGAAAAGTTCAGCATATCGAAAAATCAAATAACGCTAATAACATAGTCGATGCGATTAAAAACAGAAACATTGCCACTTCAACTCTAACTACTAACTGTACATAGTAGACGACATTCATGTACTGTTCGACAGGGTTTGCTACTTTGTAGCTCTGAGAAATGAGTATGTCGGTTTACCGCACCTATGTCAGTTTTGGTGCCTTTCCTCTGATAAATGTAACGTAATTTTTTCGTTTAACAGTACTAAGTGATTCGTACTTCGGCTTGTAGGACGGTATTCATAATCGGATCTTATATTTAAGACGGTCTTAAGCTAACCTTCAGATGTTTTGTAGCCAATGAAATAAGCCGTACGATATCTGAAGATGAAAATTTAACACGGTTTTAAATATAAAATCCGACCATGAATACCGATCTTAATCTTAAGTGCTGTCAATTTCGACTGTCCGGGTCTTTCAGTAGCTGAACGTACGGCTAATTTCAGACGTGGCAAATCATTGATTTTTCTAACGATAACAGATAATAATAACGTCTGAAATTAGCTGTGTACTCAATTATCGAAAGACTCAGGTGGTCGGATAGTCGAAATTGAATCGCATTTGCCTTAATGGCTCCTTCGTTTCCTACCGATCGAACATCGGAGAGCCTTGAAACTTGAATCTTTTCCAATTTAACTATCTTCTTCTCAAGTTCAACACCACGTAACTCTTCACCCCACACCGCGTTGTTGGAATAAATCGCACTCGAGCTTGTTGCACGCGGTCCAAGTGTGAGAAGCATTTGCGAGACGGGGAAGAAACAATTCCGCGCGATCGAATTGCACTCCCTGTGCAACTCGCTCGGAGCTACTTCTCGCCTACCTTTCTCTCCCACTTCTTCCTGGCTGTTGGGCTGCTCGGCTCGGAGCTGGGCTTCTTCCTGTCCAGGATCTTGGCTATGCTGTCGTTCTGCGCCGGCTTGAACTTGCACGCGCTGTCAGTCACGCTGGGCCGCACGTCCTCGAGTGAGGGCAGCTCCAGGCAGCTGGAGAACAGGTCGCCGAGGATCTTCTTGACGCCGCCGAGCGCGTGGAACGGATTCGCCGTCATCGGCCTGTAATGCGGGTCCCTCCTGCTGGCAAGCTCGGCCACCCGTCTGGCGGAATGACACCTCGCCTTGTCCGAGGGCGTCGCGTTGTCGCAGCCCCTCGCGTCCGCCGACTGGCTCCTCTGCCTCGTGGTGCGCCGCTTCATCGTACGTCCTTCGCGCACGATCTCGTCCATGCTGGACATCAGCGTCGGATCGACCGCCGACTGCCGTTTGCCGATGTTGCTTTTCAGCTCCTCCTCGCAGGCCGTTATCATCGTCTCCAGGCTGCTCGTGATCTCCGGAAAGGTCGGCCTCGATTTTGGCTCGTACTGGAAAGCGAGACATCGTCTTTCTTCATTGAACCGCTCGCGTCCGAGACAAGTGATTCAAGTTATCACGGACGAGTCGGAGATAACTCGTGAATAACAGAATTCGATGCAGCATCGATAAACGATGCAAGCAGGACTGCCACAGAAAATGAATGTTGGAATCCCCTGATTTCTCCACGTTTTTCAGACCGATCGGATTCTTGGAGAAGTGTAGAAAGTTGGAACAGTAATTTCCCGTGACTCGATATGTAATCTTAGATTTTAACGTTTAGAAGCAGGAAAGATAGCTTATATTATTAGAAACAACACCTGTAGAAGTTAAGTAACGTAATACGACTCTGAATGCAAATTCAGATCAACAAAAGATAAGTATTGGGGAAAAAGAATGCAGTTACGGCTGGAAAGGGTAAATTGGGGAAAAATGCTGAGTATGACCACAGTCGACTATTCTTGGACTGTAAGGTCAATATTACTTACTTTTATCAATAAAAGTGTCTTAAATGTGGCTTCTCATTAATTAAAAATATCTCTCATAAATTAAAAAAAATCACAAGTACTCTTTAGAACAAGAGCATCTAAGGGAATTACGAGCAAAGTTCGAAACTCCGGGTTCTTTTATATCTTCCCCCGACCTTTTCACATTTTACCCGGCAAATTTAAATCTCAATGACTTCCCCGGTTTTCTAAGTCTCGGTGGCAACCCCGGTGACCGAATTTAACCGAAATATCGCGCTCGAGTTCTATCGAACGTGCGTCTGCGAGCAAGAACTCAACGCTTGCTGTCGGTAGCTTCGCGTAGATTTCACAACGATCCTCGAATTTTCTATCGCGAATTTAACCGAGAGAATATCTGGAACAAACCGAAGAACTGCGGCGAATGATAGTTTCTAACGTTGGTCTGGCGAGGGAAGAGAGAAAAGGAGCGAGCGATTCTACGCCGTCGGGGAGGCTGTAATCGCGCGACGAGGTTCCCGCGACATCCTGTACCGACAGGTGTGCTGTACAAGACTCTCTCGCGCCGGCGGTTACACTAATCTTCCCGGTTACTCGCCGCGGATCTCAGCGTGTTCTTGCGCGCTTTTACAGTTACGAGAGGGCTCACCGTGCAGCAGTTGAAGGCGAGCTGTAGGAAAGCGGGCGGCGGATCAGCGGCCGCGCAAATCTCCGCCACGGCCAGGTAATCGAGGCCAAAGTTATCTGAGCGTGGCAGCACGTCCGGATCGGCCGGTACCCTGCCGATCAGCTCGCACACCACGATCCCGAAGGAGAATACGTCGGACCGGTGGTCGTACCAGTGGCCCTTCAGGCACTCCGGCGACATCCAGTAAGGGCTACCGACCGTGCTGAGCCGGTAGCCGGAGCTCGGGTCCGGTATCTTCGCGGCCAGACCGAAGTCGCCCACCACGGCGGTCATCTCGTTGCTGCACTCGTCCTTCTTTATTAGGACGTTCTTCGACGTGAGGTCGCGGTGGAAAAGGCCGCGGCTGTGCAGGTAGGCCATGCCGCGGGCCACGTCCTTGGCGAGGTTCATCCGCACGAGGTGTGGTAACGGCGTGTGCCGCGACATGATCAGTTGCTCCAGGCTGCCGCCGTTGATGTACTCCGTTAACGCGTGCAGCTGGCCCTCGTGCACGCACACGCCCATGAACCTGCGGGGAAGAAGACCAGGTGAGAGATCGATTTTCCTTCTCGCGAGAAAGCGAGACCGACTCGTCTTCATTCTCTCCACTGTCGTCTGGCAGGACTTCGTTGAATAATACAGACGGGACTCACCGACACTCTCATCCTCGACCGGGGGAATTTAATTGAAGGGAGATATACTTGAATTAAGAGATACGGCGAGAGAGCTCGGGATATCAATTATTTCGGGTGATTAAGAATTCAAATCCAATGTGCGTTAGGATGCACCACCGTGTGAGTACGGAAGGGGGAGAAGGAGATCGAAAGGTGGATGTGAATTTTGCTCGTGGAAAAGTAACGTTTATCAATGATAAAGTTTAATGTCATACGCAGGCGTTGTTTTCGTCATTCATTAAAAAAAACCGGCCGACCAAACGCAATGTCAACGTCATCTGGAAGGATTTTGTTATAACGCAAACAGGATTCTGATATTCTTCTTAACCAGGGAAATTCATTTGAAGAAAGATTTATTGGTAAAAAAAAAAACAAAAGATTGTACTTTGATTAAAAGATACCGGGGAGAGTTTGAAATATATTAATGATTTCAGATTATTTTCCAATCATTCAGATCCAATGCGTGTATATTAGAATGCACGGCCGTGCAATTCTGGAAGGAACAGAAAGAGATGGAGAAATAGATGTGAATTTTGCTAATAGAGGGAAAGACAACATTTATAAATAGGAAATATGGCGTTGTGTCGGGTCTAATACGCACACGTACAGACACACACATATACTCAGGCGTTGTTCATCCTCAGTTGAATAACGAGGCTTTCGCGAACGTAATGTCCTCGGCATTAATGATGATTAAAGAGTGTAGACCGTCGTGGTATGCGCATTGCAGTTTTATCGTTGCGATATCATCGACGATATCATCGTTATCTTCACCACGCTATAGTGCTTGATTAAGCCTTGAAGAATTAAAAACCATCTTGCCACCTTGGAGGAAACATCATGCGGCATCGCTTCTTATCAGAGTACGTTCTCGTGCAAGACAATTAATATCGCTGAATGACTCGCAGCCGACAGATATTATCCGCCGCGATAAATACCGATAAGCGATATACCGTAAGTCTTTCAGTTCTCAGTTGCAGGTGATAACGGTAAATGCCTATGTTAATTTCACGGCCGGTGTTTATTCGCGCGCGCGCGCGCGCGCGCGATACGAACGGGGGAAATTAGAAAGCACCCCGGGGGGAAAGTCCGTTGAACAAAAATAGCGCAGATAATTTCCTCGCGGACCATATAAATTATCGTGCGTGTCGCGAATCGCAATTTACACGTTGCACCCTCGCGGCGTGAGGCGAGAAGGACGATATCGCGATTGCGCGATTTTTCTCGTCGCACGGATATGCAAATATCGTGTATCCAGAGGATCCACGGTCCGAATGAAGATTTAGAAACGACGAGTGAAACAGCCCGATTACACCGTGAAAATGACGGGCGACGCGCACTTCTCCGGCGAAGGAGGAACGGCTTAATCGGCGAGTGCACTTTACGTTATCGCCGGTTAAGACGATCCCGCGTAAACCGTATCCGCCTTGAGAAAGGGGCGAGAAATGAGAGAAGAAAATCGCCGGTCCCGTCGTCGTCGTCGTCGTCGCCGCGTCGTCCCGATTTCGAGGCCGTTTCTCGCCGTGCACGTCGGCTCCGCGTTTCTCTCGCGCGAGCAATGGAGGAGGAGGAAAAAAAAAGGAGGAAGAACGAGACAAACGCGCGCGAGCGAGCGAGCGAAAGAGAAATTTCCGGAGGGGAATTTTTCCCGGCTAAAACGCGCAGGACGATGCATACGCTCCAGATTCATTTCTTGCCGATCAGATAAGAGGAGAAATTGTCGCTCTCCAACGCGCGTTCTCCCCCGGGGGAATCGTCGTTCGCGCAATTGATACGCGGCAGACGCGCTAATTACACCGCGTCAACGTCGAAGNAAAAACCCCCCCCCCCCCCCGCCGTGAATCGGACGTTTTGGTGTAACGCTCGCAACGTGAGCGTCCCTCCCCTTTCGCCCCTACCCGACGAAGGAAGATGTCTTTTCTCTATCATCAGATAGAGAGGGATTATACAGTTGCAGGAGTGAAAGCCGAAACGGCGTTACGGCGATACGAACGAAAGTATGTATCGATTGATGAGCGAGGCACGAATAAAACAGAAGCGATTCATCGTGGATAATTGCGTTCGAGGATAATTACGCACTCAGAGACCGCCTTCGACTCGCCTGCGCGGACACGCGGCCACTTTCCGTCGGCTCACCACCGTACTTCCCATCCGCTCGCTCGTATATTCGTTCGTATCCGAGTCGAAATTTTGATCCTGTGTTGGGTCTTTAATTCGACAACACAGTAGGAGCTAAGGTAACGAAATAGGCTTCATTTCAATTCTAATAATATAATGTAACCCCCACTTTGACCCTGATGTCGTCTTGAATTTCCGTCTTCGCTGTATTAGCGTCAAAATAAATTATTGAAGGTAGCATCAAAGTTTAATCTGTAAAATGAAAGGTTCAAGGGAGAAATTAGAAATTAAAATTGTTTTATAGTTAAAAAAAAAAATCCTAAGAATCACCCACAGGGCGACGTTTCGAACGAGAAAAATCTCCCTTGATACTAAAACTACCGACGATTAACGTGCACCTTTCTGAACCTTCGTGTACCTTTTGAATAAGACTTTTGAAAAAAAAAAAATACGTAATGCAAAGGAAAAAAATATTTCGTTCGTTTACGCGACAAGAATTACGATTAACCTCGGAGAATGCACCATTAGAAACTGGAGTAACTTTTATAAAAAAAAAAAAAATTACAAACCGGTCATTTGACCGGCTTCGGTAGTTTTGATGTTAGCCGCATACTCAGCCGGGAGATGCCCGGATCATCCCGGGGGTAAATACCTGGCGAAATTGACAGCGGGGCTCTCCACCAGCCGAGTGCCAGCCCGTGTTCTCTTCCCCTTTCGCGGACCGTCGGCGCATTCCGCGCGAGATCCAAGCATTACGTAAAAGGGCGTTCGCGCGTAATGAATGCGCCCCGGCGAACGCCGGATCGATCGGACTTTTGGACGCGGGAATTACTACGAGGAGTGCGAAGACACCGGATATTTTCGGACTCTCTCTGCACCGGCTGTTTTCATTCAGTCGCCGTCACGAGAGAGCGATGGATCGCGCGCCGATTGTCCGAGTCGGAATGTCTACGGATTACATCTGTATAGAGCCGTCGACGACGCGCTAGAAGATCGTCGAATATACGAGATACTATTTCGATGCCATTGACGCATCCCTCTCGCTTCGAGGGTCCCCGAGGGCATTGTGGTGTTGTCCGGCGGCGTCGTATATTGTAGCGAATATCGCGCGGTATCGATTTCAACAGACTCGGCGGAAAATAGACACGTGGCACGTTATTTGGACGCGTCGCCGAATTCGCCGTCCGGCGGTTTTATCAACGGAAATATCAACGGGTTCGGTAACTGATTGCGTATACTGTTGCTGCAATTAATTTTCCTCGTAATTAGATATTAATTACTTAACACGGCGAACGACGGTTTGGACGATTTTCCAAAACGTACGATTGCTTAAGACCGGCGCATTCATAGTCAGATCTTGCTGCAAATGGGATGAGAATTTCACACGGAACGCGGATGTCAGATACAATCTGAAAATATCGATACTTCCTTCTGAGCAGTAAACGCGCCGTCGGCCGACTTCCTGTTGATACCGACATGAGGCATCGACATAGACATTGTCTCGCTATAGCGATCCCGGTTACGACACAACGGGTGTAATGATACACGCGAGAGAACGCGGTGAGTAAAGCCGAGATAACTACTATTTTTACGGCTGAGTCAGCAGATGCGAGAGGATCCTGAGAAACAGAGAGAGAGAGAGAGAGAGAGGACCCGCGGTTTTCGCGCGGAGGCCTTCGCGCGGGGAAATGCCAGAAATAAGATCCGCTAGGTCCGCGGCGGTACGGGTAAACATCGTATCCGAATCTGGGCCAAGCCGTTTATATCGTCGGAATGCGTTGTCGTCGCGGACGCGACGAGGCGCGCCACGGCGAACGTCCCGTCGGACGCGCGCGCCGCGTTATGTCATAATCGAGCGGGAGAGCGCGCGAGAAAGAGAGAGAGGAGCGTCAGACGAGGGAAAATAAAGGAAAAAAGTGATCCCTCTCGTGCGACGATCCCGAGGGAGAAACCCGAGGAAAGATATCGCGCGTGTGAATATCGCGTTTTCCACGCGCAAAGTGCAGGCCCGCTCTCGCGGCGCGGATCTCGCGCGAGCTATTCGTGGAGATAAAGTGCGTTCCAGATTTGGCGGAAAGCAGACGCGTTGAATTTGAACACGTTGCGAAACTTAATTTCGATTCTCTCCGCGGCAAACATCGAGACGTTGGGAATTTCTCGACGGTCAGTCAATGAAAAGAGCGAGCGCTCTCTCGTGTAAAATGAAGCTCCCGAAGCGAGAGAGAATGTCATTATTATTCGGTTAAAATTATGATTTTTACTTTTGCACGTTACTACTTTATCTATCTGTGTTTTAGAACCAATAAAGTTATTATTATTATCATTGTTATTGTTAAATTGAGTTTAACTGGCCGTATCAACTTAAAACTTCATTCGACTTTGAAGCTCGGTTAAAAATAAAAAAATGAAACTTTTTTATGGACAATCGCTCAATTTACAAGCAATCACACTGGTCAGCACAAAGATTGTATCCTTTATGAATGAGACGTGTGCTTTAATTTCCCATAGGTGAATAAAAATTATTTTTATTCTTTCGTTGTAACATTCTCTATTTCGAGATTGTAAAAGACATCTAAAATGTAACATTTAAAAAGGATTTTAGTCTTTCTGACAGTATGAAACATAATAATAAAAATTATAGTGAAAATGTATTCTGTTATTTTGTTTTCGTATTTCTCTCATACTATTAATTTATAGAAATTAAAGTACAGCCTATATTCATTGAACTATAGCTAAGTAATTCTATTTATTATAATTTTTTATTTCAACAGATAAACATATATAATAGAAAATGTAATTGAAAAAAATTGAAAATTAAAAAGAATATAATTTGTGGTGCGAAATTTGTTGACCAGTATTATCACATAACATCGCGTTTCAGAAGACCTCTTTTAATTCCGAGGTATCAACTACATGACGCAAAAGTCGATTTGGCTCAATTTCTAGGAGTGAAATTCTTCTTAGTATATAAAAATGAGATAACGTGTAAATTTGTGCCGACGCGCGCACGCACGAGCCAAGATGTGCCCGCAAATTGGATTCCGTATGCCGAAGCCATGGACCGAAAGATGTTTCACCGCCGCATTATGCATCCGGTACCTTGGATTCTACTCTCTGCTATGCAGCCAGCAGGAATTTTCGCAACGGGTGCAACGCGCCGAGCTAACCGCCGTTACCGCTAGGTGATGTATTATGTCGTAATTCGTAACGAGCGTAGTTAAAGTGTAATACCGTTTTTTCTAATCTTTTAGTCATTTTAGTGATCTTCCAAGCGAGAGGAATTTCAACGATATAATCGCATGAGGGACGATAAATCAAATATACCAGAACACGTTCCAACTCGAGCCGGAGATTTTTCAATGAAGTCGGACGATACGCGCGCACATACACACACACATACACATGTTCAAGGCGAATAACTTAATTTACAGATCTTGTCGTCGTTGTCGCAACTAGCCACGTGTTCAGTCAACACGTGGCGAGATCGCTTAATACGAAGAGCCTTGCGCCAGAATTGCGGCGAGACACGCGAGGAAAAGAAGTCCGCAAATTGATTTGCGAGACGAGACGAGATAAACGCGCGGCACAAGCGGTCGAATTTTCTAACAGATTGTCGCGATGAATCGCAAAGTTCTCGAAAAGTCGCACGGTCATGTCAACACAGCGTGTGGCGATTTTACGGTCTTAATCACCGACAGGCACCAACAGGTGTGGCTAAAGAATGGATAATTTAAGGAATAGTATTTTCGTATCCTCGACCCTCCATCGCGTTGCTTCGTTTCAGACGCGGACCTTGAAATAAATGCAGCAAAGAGAAACAAAATATATATATATAGAAAAGATTTATTATCGAGATTACATCAATCCGGAACGTCCGTCTCTCATACCTCTCATGCTTCTCGTGGCTCGATGCTTAAATAAACCGGAGTTCTACTGCGGCGGTCACGATGCGGATAATGCCACGTATCATTTATCTTCGACGGGAAATGATCAGATTCGATCGTATCGAAATAAATCACGCGAAAGAGGGTTAATGTCTCTGCCCGTGATACAACGAGGAGATTAAGAGTGAGCTCGGGCGAGCGAGCGAGCGAGCGAGTGCGGGTAGAAATTTCATCCGCCGTCATCGAATTCGGCACGTACGGCCGAGCGATTTTCTTCCACGATCGGCGGAGTTTCACCGGGCAAAAGTGAACCGGACTCGATTCCGCGGCGGACTCACCTGAGTATGTTCGGATGGCTGAGTTTGTTCATGAGCTGAACTTCCTTGAGCATGTTCGGCCTGTTCGCCGGCAGCTGATTCATCTTCAGCACCATCACCTGACTCGTCACTTTGTGTGTAACCTGGAAAACGAACGGGCACACAGGGTGGGTTGGTGACATATTGTGATGCGCAGTCACGTCGTGCAGTTATTGACGTTAGATCATACGACAGGTGCATACGTAACCGTTCCGATTCTTCGCAGTATATAAACTTCCCCGAGGTCGCGAGACGTAAGAGCGCCGCGCGAAACAACCGGCGCTCAGCGCGACAGCATTCTCCAGGCATCTCCGGCTCTCTCTCTCTCTCTCTCTCTCGAATTTAAAATAGCGTTCTTCTCCTCCGGACGAAAACGTAGGTGTGTACGACATGAGGAGATCAAATATACTCGGAGAAGTTTATAGACGCACATATATAATATAGTATATAAAATGTCCCGGAATAACCGCATGAGAGTGCACTGGAAGATTTTTAGTGCCGACGATGCCATTTCTTGTTTGTCAAAATTTCGTCCAAATGATGGGTTTTAAATGAGAGCTATTTAAAGTTGTCGAATTAGCGAACTAGGTTACGCGTGAGTCAGAAGCGGAACCACAAAATACCACGGAAGTCGTGCAGGTTGTTTTCCTTCTGTCTCACTAAAAATTTCATCACGCAACTGTATATCTGAATTTATCGTTATTTTGAATAAAACCTATTTATATAATTATGTAATTTGTATAAGTGATACTTCATCGGTCTTTCTCAACGGCACAAATATTTTTAACAAGTGGGATCAACACTTCGTGTATAAAATTATTTGTGTGCCGATTAAGCATGTTACTTTATTCTTTGTAGTCGTTCCTTCAGCGGCGTCGGTAGGAAATTTTTTCGTATCAAATAAGTACTATTAATTTATTATTAATGTTATTTTGAATGGAACTTGTTTGATATGAAAGAATTCTTTATCAATACCGCGGAAAGAACGATTACAAATAAAATAATATGCTTAAGCAATAAACAGATTATATTTTTTCCCGAATCGTTGTCCCCACTTTTCAGAAACATTTGTGCGGTCTTGTAAAAGACTGTTGGAATATTATTTATGTAAATTATTTCACCACCGGAATTTCGATAAACGAAAAGTCGCTTTGCTTGGTATCAAGAATCCCCCGATGCACTTTGCATGAGGTTATTCTGGGACACCCTGTATATGTTCGATAAAAGATAAATTTACAAAGAAATGTCAGCATACAAATTTTCTCAGACTCACAGCATAGATTCTCAAGTAGAACAAATTTTTGAAAGACCTCTTGAAGACGTCTGAAAGATGAAAAGAAATAAAACGTCTTTCAGATGTCTCTAAGATATCTTTTAAATATTTATTCTACCTGGGTTCCGATTAAATTTTCCAAAGTCTCACAACAGGTTATCTCACTATCGGAAATCCCACTCCTTCTTATCTTATCCCAAAAGAGTGAAACTTCTTTTCTATCTATCGGCCTATCCGCTGCGCGCCGCGGCTTGTTTTGCACCACGTGCGACTGTTATCGCTAAAATCGAGCTCTTAAGGCATCATCGACAGGTAGTTTTGGAGTATCCTGTACGATACCAGCGGCGAATCGTTCGACCGCTCTCGATGGTAACGACGAACGCCAGATGCGTATCCACGTCGCTTGTCCGGCCACGAAACGGAGGCTCACTGTCGTCCCATTTTCACGCGCGGCAAGTAACACGCGCGCGCGCGCAAGAGAGAGAATGTTAAAGCGATATTCTCGCGAAAGAGAAACTTATTAATGAAACCGCGGCATCTGGTTGGCGTAGAGGTACGCTCGTAAAGGCGCCGGCTCGCCACCGCGCGGCATCGTTCAATGTCGAAAACGGACACGCGGACGCCGTAACTTCTTTATTAGCCTCGAAAGCCCGCGCACGATCGCTTAATGAGCGTGATCGACGCAGCTTCCTTCGCCTCGGTCGATTATCATTGGCAAGCTCGAAGAAAGAAGAGAGCCGGCGAGCCCGATCTCGAATTGCGCCTCCGCGCCAATGTACGTCGACTTTCATCGCGGAGAGATATACAATGAATTTCACATATGTTATAAGAATATTACAAATAGGTCGCAACAGACTGCAAGGCAAACGCGGTGTTTAAACCTCCGCCGGGAGTGTGGGGATTTTAAAGCACACAGCCGATTCTTTATGAAATGTTGGGTAACTGGTACATAGCGGCTCGGCATCCCTTCCTAAACAATTTAAAAGTAAAGTATGTGTGCAAGTATATATCCAACCGTTCGTTTTCTAATGTTTTCTAACGATTAAAAATAATTAGAACACGCGTTTGTGCCCTCAGTATTTTTGCAAGTCAATCATTTGGGGTTTTCTTCGTGTTTTACATGTTTTGGACGCTAATTTCAACGGATATGTGAAGAATAAGTAAAAAATAAGTAAGATACAATCCGACTTCAACGGTGATAAAAACTCGCTATTAAAGCTCTCGCGATTACGAGAATTTTTGCAGATTTTCATACAGTCCGAAACCTGTGCAAAAACCTGCATTGGTCCTCAAAGTCCCAGACGGAAGGTGCTAAATCACACGATGCCGGCGGGGGGGTTAAATCGTGATGAGCCGAAGAAAAGTTCCCACAGCCACGGGGCACGCAGCCTAATGAGCTTTCGGGACGAGACGACGGACAGACGAACGCGCGATTTTTCTCTCTTATCGATAAAACAAGCCAGACGTGTCTTCCACGGCGGCGGTGTGAGCGAACACGTCCCGAGAATCTAAGGAACGTGGGCCGCCGACGGGGATAAGGACCATTGGATTACATCAACTTACTCGCTCACTCAGCCGATTCTCGGCGTTGAAAGGCGTAATGCGCTCTTTTACATTCCGCCGGCTCGCGCGTTTTCCACGCTCATCTCGAATTTCATCTCGGCTCTAGAAGAAGTCTCGGGGCCGAGAGCGGGAAAGGTGATGAAAATGGAGACGCGGCGAGCACAATTCGAGAGATAGAGAAAGAGAGGGACGGGGCGAGGGGGACGGAGAGAAGCTCCGGCTCTCAGCCGGCGAGATGGAAGTTTCACGGGTTAAAAAGTCGAAAATATATCCAAGGAGAATCTTGGCGAGGATTCCTTGGCAGTGGCTGGCTTAGTTGGGCCGCCGCCAAACGATGACGAGTACGAGCAGCAGTCGAGCCCGCTGTAAACAGAACGGTTGCAGTAAATCGGCCGTTTCACGGCAAAAGGTAGAAAACGAGAAACAGGGAGGAGGATCGACGATTCGTACTCGAGGAGTTTTGCTTTCGCTCAAAACCACTCGGCCAAAAATTCCAACCCGTCATACACCGTCCGTTTACCGTCACGGTAAACGCTCTTTCTCGCTACTTCCCGAAAACCTTTCACATCGTTCTAGGAAACGTGTCTTACAAGTTTTCTCCGTGTACCTGCGTGTATTCTAGCGAATCACCTTTCATTTAAGAATCCGTCGAACAAACTCGAAGTCGGTCTGCCCGCGAGTTTCCAACTTTTGCTACTGTGAACATCTTTATAATTAATTTTCTTTTTTTCAGTCACATGTATCACTCTTAAAAGTGAAATCTAATTAAAAATTAAATTTAAGAGGAAAGTTGCATTAACGTCTTTCTGGATCCTTAAAGTCGTGCTAAAGCATAGTATTATTCTTTTAATTACTATATTTACAAATTTCAAACTAATTGTGAACAACTGCGCGTGATATAATAATGTCGTGTATGTTGAAGTTGAATTAACGAAGGACGATTAACATGGAAGTATACCCTCAAAAACGCGTTTCCACCTCGACAACTGAAAACGCTCGAGTCGCAAGTCGGTCGGTCGGTCGCTCTCGCAACGCTTCGTCAGTTTTCTCCGAGAGGCTAAAGGTTCTCTCCATTTTATCGTCGAATATAAATTGCCGTTAATACGCGACGCGAACGTCTGACTTTCAGTCAGGGTTCGGGCAAGATGCGACGAAGTTACGAGCGCGCAATTGAACCTGTCCGAGCGTACGTGTAACAAACAATTCGTCAAGAGTAACAAATATGTCGTATTTTTGCGCGCGACCGCAGACGCCAATGTTCTAAAATCTCGAATTCAATTTGTACGCGAGAGTCAAGAGAGCGGTTAATCCCGACAGTAACATATCACGCCTACGAGATTTACGCGTATTTTTTCGCTTACCTCCTCCTTCCACGTTTTGTGCAAGACTTTTAATTCCTCTGTTAGAAGAAAAAATTGGGTTTATGTGACCGCTGCTGTTATTAACCTGATCCAATAAGAACTGATTTCCTGGCGACAACCAGTCTACAAAAGCAATAAATAAAAATTAGCAATAAACTTCAGAGGATGTCATACTTGGAAACTTTACCGTCAAAATACTATTTTTTTTTTCTGTAAAGTTTATGTCTTATTGGTTGCACAAAATTAAATACTTTTGCATGGTGAACGTATATGCTAAAAATGAACTGCTCAATATGTGAAAAAACAATGAAAATGTCAAAATTGATATCTCTGGCTTTCAGTTAGAGCAAATAATTATTTGATACAGAAATCCTGCAGGTTGTACGTACCGAGTATGTCAATTTTCTAATCGGAAAAATGTCAAAGAATATCTTTATATATCTCCAATTAAATTTGCAGGCTTAAAAAAAGATACGAAGAGTTTGCATAAAAATATATACATACAATAATTTATACATCTTATTTAGATTTTCCGTTGGATATGACAAAACGAGAATAACGCACATTTCTCTAGTATTTACATTTATATCGAACTTATATTCATGTAAGATCTATATGTACGGTAGATTCCATTAATGCTGTCTTATTCCCTAAAGGCATAATACTTTGAAAATTTCCAATTAGGCGCGTTATTTTTGAATATTTATATACCATGACTGCTGCTTTGGAAAGTCGTTGCCTATTCGTCAAATTATCAACAGTCATGATGCATAAATAATGCTTTTGATTGGAAATTTTCGACGTCACCGTGCTTAAGGAATGGGACAGCATTAACGGAGTCTTCTGTACAAGAAATATCAAAAGATAAGCGCGATCGTGTCAATATTTATGTAACATAATAATATTT